CTCGGCTCCCTCTCCCGCAAGCGCCCCGCGTCGAAACAACAATCGCGCGAGTTTCGCACAATCAAACGAATCACTGTAGACGGGATCCCGGCGCGTTTGACTTCCGGTACTTCAATCACGGCCGCGCGCGAAAATTCGTTTCCCCCGAATACACACGGACAGATACGACGCCGTAAAGGAAACATCCGCCCTTCGATATTTCAGGCTTTCCCTGTCTTTAAAATAACGCCCGATACTTGAGGGAACGGAGAATAAAAGACCTCGGCGGAATAAAAACGACTTTGAATATTTCCGTCGCGCAACTTTTACGCGCGCGAAACTTTTTCGGCGCGCTCCGCGCCAAGATAAATGGCGCTTTAAATTGAGGAATCCCGGAACTCGTTGATGAAACACGAAAGGAAGAGCGCTCTGATAATTTATACGATATCTTATAAGTGGCAATACGCGCGGGAATTTATACCAATCATCCGGTCTTACGCTTAAAGCAGCGGAGATACGGAGTGAAGTATATCTAATCGGGAGGATTTTGCGAAGGGGCGAACTACCACTTGCGCAAATTGTGCTTTCACGACGAATGCATATATAATCAGGCGCCGATAGTGAAAGATAGTGAAAGATATCACGGAGACTTTAATTGAGTGAAAAATTTAAATTTGTAATGCGATATAAATATAGTAACGTCCGTCGAATGAGTGAAATTTCAATCAGAATGGAAAGAAAATCAATGAGCGAGGGACTTTGCTGCTCGGAATAGAACCTATCCTTCAGACCCGGTCGCATGCATCCGCTCTCGATTAAACGACACTTTAGGCTCTTGTTTGCACCTCATTTAAAGATACATCTCGAGACGCTCGGCTCAGGCGACAGGCGACCGTTACAACGTGATGCGCGCTGCTTCATCGCGGAGAGAGAACAAACTTCCGCGCGGCAGCAGTTACATAGACAAGACGTAATGCAATTTCATCCCTTTTTCTCCCTCCGGTTCTTCTTTCCTACCTCGTCCTAGCGCGACGAGGCGCTTTTTACTTGTTTTTTACTTCGCCGCAACGGCGAAGAAGCCTAAGGCGGCCTTGTTTCTTGTTTCTGTATTTCTGTACTACACACAAGACGCGCATGAATTCATCTTTTATTCATGGTCGGCGACGGCGCGCGGGATACACCGCGGGTTATATGCGATTCGTGACAGGAACAGAGAGTTTTGCATAAGTGGCCTTAGATTTTGCAACTTTCGTATCGTCCGCGACAGAAATGCTCCGAGCGATCAATCATTCGATGCGACGAGGGACAATAAATCGAACCATTGATTTTCGCAACTGGAGAAGCGTCTCGACGCACTGCGATATTATTTCTGCTCTTTTCCATCATTTCGTATTCATGCCTTGAAGATCAAGTCATCCATTTCATTCCGGGAACATCGGGCGCAATGCGCGCCGTGAGAAAAATTGATTCAGGCACGAAGTGAATAATCTCATTATAACGCGAATGAGAGAGAGAGAGAGAGAGAGAGAGAGAGAGAGAGAGGTCGCAGGAAAAGTGGAAACGTTGAAAACGCGGATCGTTTCGCCGACGTAATATTTGCAGGGACTCTGACGATGCGTAAAGCAGGAAGGGACCTTTGAAATACTCTCGCTGCGTAAGTAAATTACACAACTTGTAGTCCCTCGCTCTCTTCACGTCGAGCGGAGCTGTAAAATCGAAAATCAAAGGGAGAAGAGTAAACCTCCTGCACGCGAGTTCGCATAAACATGCCGCTTTGCCGAGGAACGCTTCGGAATTCACATACCCGTTTATGGCGGTTTCGGGCTTTACGTGCCGACGTGTATCGATTTATTTTTTACGGATATTGGAACGCGCGTGCGCGCAATTTCGATTTATTTCGACGCGCGGCCGTCTGTTCTTCCCAGAGAGAAGTAAACGCTCTATTTTGGAAGTGTAATTTATTAAAAGTCAGACGAGAGAGAGAGAGAGAGAGAGAGAGGGAGAGAGTAAAATGGTAAGGAGGAAGACGTTGCACGCGAGTAAGATTGTATTTATGTATAAAAGCGCGGCAGCCTCGAGAAGAGCAATCGCTTTCGCGCGTAGCTTGCTTGCTGGCGAAGAGGTGTTTCTCTAATGAAACGTATATCCGCGGTGAGATTTACTCGACCGTATATCGATCCCCGCATCGAGAAATCCGCATTTACAAGCAAGTGGCGAACTCGGCGTGCGCAATCTCCCACGGCGGGCCTCGCGTGTGGTCTAAATAAGAGAGTCAAGTTGCGCGTCTCTCTCTCTCTTTCCGTACGACGCGAAGAGCAACTCGTGCCGGAGAGCGCATTTCAAAGTCGGCTTATGTCTCATTCACGTCGCGATGTCGATATGAGGTGTCCCATATCGAAGGTATGTTGGAATTTCATGGAAACGTGCGTCACCGTCGCGTGGAGAGAATCGCCCGTCGACTCCCGGAATTCCATTCCGACTTTGCAAGTATACCGCGACGAGCATCGAAGAAGAGAGAGAGAGAGAGAGAGAGAGAGAGAGAGAGAGAGAGAGAGAGAGAGGAAGAGGAGGAGGAGGAATGTTGCCACCACCTCGATGTGTACATAACCCGGATTGCCCTTTCGCTCCCTTTCCCCCTTTTTTTCTCTTCGGGAGAAAAGGGAGCTACGTTCGAGCGGCATCTGGCGCGGTGACGTCGATTTAACGCCCGAAACTCGCTAAAATATTCTAAAATATTCCCAAGCGCACGCTTCGATTTCGCGAATGAAAGATGCGTAATACCTAGGACGTCTAATCTCCTGACCTCTCCTCTCGCGTCGACGTTAAACGCGGAATTACGCGTTCGCGGAGGCGTATATTCGAAGTGCGGCTGGCACAGGCTATATACGGGGGTATAACTCTGGGTATTATCGAACGAAAGAGACGAACGAAGGACTTTGTAATTTCGAAGAATCGGGAAAACGCAAGAGAGGATGCACCGACCGCGAAAAATGTCATCTGATCCGACTTTCACATCGATCCTCTCCGACGCTGAAATGTAAAATTTGATGCGGCGAAATACACGAGTCTCTCTCTCTTTCTCTCTCTCTCTCTCTCTCTTTCGAAACAATGCGCGGACGCGAACGCATCTCATTGTTTATACAATTGTCAATGTTTTTCTTTTTCGTCTCGGCAACGTCACTAAATAAGACAAAGAGCGAACGCCACTGCGGCATCACCGTGGACCGTAAACTAGGGCAATTTGCCGGGCCGACGACTATAGCATTAAGGCACGCAGCGAGGAGCGTAAAAAAGAGGAACGAAGCAAACAATCTGCAACTTCCATGCAAAAAAAGAATACCGCATCGACCCACCATTTTTATTTCCACTGTGCTTCGCGGCGCATCGCTACGCGTTCGCTTCTGCACTCAATACCGCATACCATATGCGAATATTCGGCACGCATGTGTTTGCGCAGTTTCGCCGCGCCACCCTGTATTTCCGTAAGGGATGGTATACCTGTTTGTGTTTCCAATAGTAAACTCGATGAATCGGGGAGTTCGACGTTCGTAAACAATTATAAAATCTGCACGCGCCGAGCTTAGACGTGAAATGAGCGGATGTGATCGTGCATTTCCATTTTTGTGTCGTCTGTGTTTCACATTCCCTCCGCGGCTACATTCCCACATTGTTTTCTCGTTTCCACGCCGATATTTTTATCCGGTTAATCTCAAGTCCCATTCCGATCGGTTCACTTTGTGTATTTCCCTTGATTTGTTTATTGCCTTTAATTTATTTATTATTCTACCGCAGTAATATGTGTAATAAAAAATTGCGACGTAAATCTGACACGGTATAGCAGCGATCTTTCCTGCATTAGGGAAGACAAAATCGCGATGTCGTATTTTACTGGGGAAAATATAATAATTCTTTATTTTCGAGAAACGAGAATTACATGATTTTTCGTCAAATGAAACCGCGCGAGCGTATAAAGAAATATGTCAACGTCATCATTATACAATGGTAAAGAAATTAGTCACGCACATCGTTGTATCTCTTATCATGTTATGTGGTTCATTTTTTAAGAAGCACAGGTGACAAAGACAAACTGTGACCGAAAATAGAAAGCGGCGAATATTAACGGCGCGTGTTGCGTCGAAATAATTCATACGCCAGAAGGCGAATTTAAATTTTAATTTTCGAGATGTTGCTGAAACACGTTTCTCTCATACACGAGCGAACAAAGAGCGCCACAAAATATTTCTTTCAAAGAATTTCTTCGATATTTTAAATCTTATCTACGCTTGTCATTCACGTAGCGAGATTTCCATTTGAATAGTCGTTCGATCGCCATGGCACAAAAACGACTTATATTAGAAACAGTACATACTCTCCCCCTTTCTTTACGAATCGCTCGCGCTAGACATGCGCGCGTGCGCGCGATAGGAAACGGAAATTAAATGAAAATCGTTCAAACCTGTCTGTATAACGGAAATGAAAATCTGGAAAATCTGCGACGTGAATAGAAGAAGCTGAGCAGCGTCGGAATAGGCAGAGAAATGGCACGAGAGTAATCAAGAGTAGGAAATGTTGACTATTAATATTTCAATATACGTTCAAAGAAATAATTTCCTGGTCGAAAATTATTCGCTTGTACAATTTAATTGATCGCGCAAACCATCCGCAGAACTGCGGAATAATAACCGTTCTCTACATCGCTGTTCTTTTATTCATACGACAAATAAGAATTTTAATTACTTTTGTTACATTACAAGCAAAGCATGCATTATTGACAGGTGCGTTTGCAAGTAATATTTTACCCGTATTTTCGTACAATTCGCATATTGTCAGTAAAGTACAACGCAATTTTTATTTGACTTTTGAGCGACAGTGTTGGCAAAGCTGACTATATCACTTTTCGTTGACGAAAAAGAAAAGACACGACATTTCTAATCGGAAAAAAAGATTGATACGTAAACATGGATGTTGCTCTTATATAAGGTATAAAATACATATAGTTGCATAAATTGCATGACACTTACGGTTCCAGCTCCAGGATCGGTAATTTTGCACGGCAGAATTGCCACGCTACCACTTTGAGCAAGCACCTCTCCAATTGGTCCTTCAAGAACATCTTCATTTTTACCCTCCGGGACATTCAATGGGACGATTACATTATTGGCACTTGAATTCTGCTGATGCTTAGCCTGGCTCACTGTGGACATAAATTACAACAACGTTTTCTGTGTATATATGTGTGTCTGAGTGGGAACCATTTTACTCGATTTAATGCAAAATCTGTCTACGACGTACAAATTATACGTCGCGTATTTCCGTCGCGTTAATAAATTCATGGTAACGACCTCCTTTGTTGATTGTTGGTGCCAAATGAAAAATCTGTCTAAAGACTAAAGTTGATAATTAAAAAAAATACGTATGTTATAAAAATAACATGTTATCTAAAACTACATATATATGTATTGGGTGAGTGCAAAAGTTCGTGCGGAGTTTGTGAGTAAAAGTCACACAGTGATTAGGCAAACAAAAATCTTTATTCAATCAATGATATATTCTCCATCGTTTTCTATAATCTTTTCCCAACGTTCTGGCAGCATACGGATGCCTCGATCATAAAAACTGCGCGGTTTAGATTCGAAGAACGAAGAGACGCCGTTTTTTAAGGCCTCCAAAGAGTCAAAGTTTTTTCCATTTAAATAATTTTGCAATGACCGGAACAAGTGATAGTCAGATGGTGCGATATCAGGAGAATACGGTGGATGCGTTAAGACATCGCATTTCAGGCTCTTCAGTTTGCGCAGCGTCTTTTTCGAAACGTGTGGTCTGGCGTTGTCGTGATGAAAGACGACTCCCTTGCGATTTGACAAAATCGGACGTTTCTCTTTTATTTCTCGATTCAGATTGGTTAATTGGCGACAGTACTTGTCCGAATCAATCGTTTCGCCAGCGGGGAGAAGCTCGAAATAGATTATGCCCTTGCAATCCCACCAAACAGAGAGCATCACCTTCATCGGGTGCAAACTGGCCTTTGGCATTGCGTCACCATGCTCACCTGATTGTTTCCATGTCCGTTTGCGCTGAACATTGTTGTAGAGGACCCATTTCTCATCGCCCGTCACTAGTCGATCCAAAAACGACTCGTTATTGAGCCGCCCGAGTAAAGAAACGGCTGCAGAAATTAGCTTGATTTTGTTCTTCTCGGTCAGCAAATGGGGCACCCATATATCGAGCTTCAAATCGAATCCCATCTTTTTTAAACGCCGAAAAGCGGTTGATCGGTCAACGTTTAGTGCTGTAGCAACTTCTTCTGTTGAAATTCGCGGATTATTGAGCACTAAAGTACGCAAAACATCGTCATCAATGTCAGAAGGTCGACCAGAGCGTGGCTCGTCTTCAAGGTTAAATTCTCCGCGCCGAAATTTAGCAAACCATTTTTCCACAGTTCGTTTAGCTGGTGCTTCATCCTGATAAACATCCTGAATGTTTTTTACGGCTGCGGCAACGTTTATTCCCTTCCGAAACTCGTAAAGCATAACATGCCGTAAATGCACCTTATCGATACTGATTTTTAAACAAATGATTTTTTTTTTAATAACAGCTGAAGACGTCACCTTTCCAACGTTATATAATATGTAGATGGAAGTATTAATGACAACACTTTACGACGCTTATAACTCCATCTATTGAAACTCCGCACGAACTTTTGCACTCACCCAATATATATATAGCAGCCGCTTTAGAGAGGCCTGTATAAATACATAATTCTTTATTGCAAATTCTCGGAAAGACGCGCAGAGAGAACGGATTTTGGGGTAAAGTCGAGAGAGCCGCGCGCGCGCGCGCGACGTTATTTCCCCGTGCCCTCGTAAGTTTTACACCGCTCTCTCGCAATAGCTGTCCCACCGAAAGCTGTTGGTCCCAGACCTGGCTATGATCAAGGATTAAGGGCGATTTCCAGGGTGGTCGTCCGGCTGACGAAGGGCGCGATGCGAGAGGACTGCGAGAGATGACGCGAAGCACCCTCTCGCTCTGTGAGATTAATGCAGCCGCCATCGCGACGATAACGCATAACCCGAGCGTCGGCATAACCGGAGAGTGGCTTAAGTGAATAACTTAGTCGCGGCAATTACGACGGTTCGGCCGGGCGTCCAAGGTGCGCCAAACCCTAGCAAATTCCCGCGGATATTCAGCCGGGGAGACTTTCCCTAGTCGTGCCCGGCATATACCCCATTCACCTACCCCCCCCCCCCGAGAAGTCCGATCATCCCTGCGCATCTCGGACTCATTCGAGAGCAAAAATCTCTTCCCCTTGAGCGCGTGGCGTGATCCCCAGCCCAAACCCCGGTGAATTCCCGGAAAGTTGTCGTTTCTATTCGTCGAGTCGAGAGCCCAACTGCGAAACTTGACGCCTGGTAGCGAGGATGCGCGGGAAAGCCCGTTTATAAAACGCGGTGCAATGTGAGCACGCTCACACACGCTCACGGCCGGCGGCATGTCAGAGAGCTCTTTTTCGATAACAGAGTTGGACCCGAATTGGACTTTCCAGCCAGGCTTCACTCCGGACTTTCGTGAGCTTGGAAAATAACTGTTCATTTACGATATGAAGGGAGAAAGAGAATGTAACTGCGCATTCACATGCGAGGTTGTTATTCGCTTAAACGTTCCGCTTAATCGCTTCGGATTATCATATTCGCAAGAAGCGCATAAATCGATAATATAATGCGCGGCAAATGATAGGGCTCCCCTGGGCGATGTGCGCTTGTATAGAATACAAATTAAAAAGGCTCGAACGCAACACGGAATCCTCGTGCATGTGCGTGTTTCGCATTTAGAGTTGGTAACACAAGGGGACAGTCGATGTCGGTCAGCGTACCACGCGTCCCACTTGAATTTCCTCGTCGATGTAAATTAATGTCGTTGCCACCGTCAACACACGGTATTCCAAAGTGATTATTCGCCAGAAATTCCCGCGGGAAAAACACACGAATTCTCCGTGGCCGGAATTAATAATAGAAAAAAAAAGGAGAGAAAAAATGAACTAGAGAGAATAAGCGCTATGAGGGATTATTAGCGCAGGTGTATCACTGCTTCGCAAAAATTACGGAGATCCTCGTGTCACGTAACGCAATATATATATATGTGTGTCTCGTCGATTTTGTCGAAACATCAAATCGAAGAAATAACGTGTCGCAATTAAATTGTAATATCCTTGCGGAAGAATATCGTGTTTTCTTAATAATGTCATTTGCGTAAATGTAAATATCAATTAATAATGCAACGAAAAGCGCAGGCAAAATAATTAAAATGCGAACCTCGCCACGCCAAGAAGTATTCAATTACCGCGCTGGTGTATTCAACCGACTACAAAACGGGACACAATTTTAATTCAACATTAACCGGGGACCGGGGATTTTACTATTTAATGAGATATCGCTTTGCATACGAAATATCTACGATTACATGCGCACGTGACAACGAAAATATTTTGTTACAATTATATCAACTTCCGAATGGAACTCCAACAACCGCCACGATATCTCCTCGAGAACGATGTACCACCTGTACGTTATCTCGTTTTTATTTTCCTGTTTTTTTTTTTTTTTTTTTTGAAACGTGCGTTTCCTCCTTCAACACAGACGAGGCAAAACCGCTCGGGAGCCGGTGTAATTTTCTAAATTGAATTTACCAGTGATTAGTACTCGTACGTAGTAGAAGATTAATCTGGCACAATTTCAGAAAGTTTGCTGAATCGGGAATCGTAAAACGACCCGGTAATAGGGGCCGGTGTGCATTTAATTAAACTTTCAATTAGATCTAAAGCTTCGTAGGTGTTACGGCGACGACCTAAATTTTCATCGCCGCATCGTACGTCGCTTTGCGCGACGAATTTGTTTCCCGCGGGTAGGAATATTCGCGAAGAGGCCGGTCAGACACGACGCGGTGTCTTGTGAGAAGAAAATTACCGGTGCGCAAGAAAAGCGGTGCGGAGCCGGGCGATCGACACGTCGATCGCAACGCGCCGCTGCCGTCGAAAAGTACGACGCTAACGAGGCGAAAGTTCGCCCGCGGTTTTCAACAACACGATAACCGGAAATTACTTGTCAGTCGCCGGCTGACGCGCGGAATTAAGTGTTTTCTGCGCCGGCACGAAAATGACTCGTCTGAACGCAAGTACGGAAGAACGTGTGGCGTGTGCGGCACACGGCGCCGAAAGCGTCCGCGCGTTTCTTCCGGGGGATGCGTCATTACCGTTGAAAATGGTATGCCGCCGTGGAACGAATGCCGGGACGAGTGGCACGGCGGAAGGAGATTAGGGACAAAATTATTTAGGCTGAGAGAGTCGCTATTTAAACATGTGATTTATGAAAGGAGAATGCACGGGAAATACGAATGAGGCTGCCACAATTCCGCGAGCTGCACGGCTGCGCAAGCTTGAGGACGGATCTCGCGGCATCTTGCGGCGCGACGAGTTTCAGTGCACTCGAATGTAAAGTCCGAATGAACCGAGACGAGGCGCGCGGCGAAAGAGCACAGTGTGCATCGGTCATTGTGCGCAACTGTGCAAAATGCGATTCGCCAAGGTAAAGTAAATGGCTGAGATAACGGCATTTTCTACATCCTATGAAGATGGCCTTATTTTTACGATTTTTACGATTTTTACGATGTAGAAAGTATAGTCCCCGTTGTATAGAAAGTAACGACTCGATTTTACCTGTGAAGTACAAGTGTATCTCCAGTAAAATGCCCACCAGGAACCAAAGTATCCTCATGATGATCGCAAAGTGCTCGCGTCCTTCTCTCAGACGCGCATCTTTTTCGAAATATCTGAAACGCAGAAAAGATTTAACGTTTAATTGCGAGACACTTTTGTCAACTGCCTGTGCGTGTAGGCCAAACATAGATCGCGTTAACTTTCAACTTCACAAAATATTTATTATATATGTAATCGCTACTACTATTGCCCCCCACACGAGATACCTCAAGCACAATCGTAAGTTTCGACTTGTAATAAGTATATTTAAACAGAAAGACGGTATATTGTAACAATTTTCTCCTTTAGGACACTCGTCACGTCGTTACCTCTGCAGCGTTTTGCTCATTTAAACGACCCTCGAATCTCGAAAATTCGCTCGGAAAATGAGTTCTTTGATCAAAAATGGTAAAAGTCGATCGACGAATGCTCGCCGCGGGATACATTACGTAACACCACCCAATATGATACGCGATATCACAAGTTGATTAATTTCATAACGACCAGCGGTCCATGCTCTTTGCTTATTCATCACACGTTGCCGCCAAGCTTGAGCCAACGTTCCAATAAAAAAATCTGCGCCAACGCAAACTTGAAAGAATTTAATTTAAGTAGGGCGTCGCGCCAAAGGAGAATTTTAGCTTCATTTTTCCGCGTGAGAAAAACTAATAACATTCCCACTTGAGTAATACGTGATAAGTATGGAAATTCAACGATATTAAATTTTTCTAAATAAATAAAACGCGAGTAAACCTCTCGGCCCCCGAAATTATGTTAAATAATCTCGATCCCCTTTCCCCTTTCTCACAAAATACTTTTCATCGCGGCATAATATTTCCTCCCGGTACAGATCCAATTATTTTCTCTTCCCTATTTCGGGATTTCTCTTGTTCTCGACATACCCGGCACGTTCATCTTCAATCTACAAGACCACGCGCGTGGTCTTCTGTGAAAAAAAAAGTTAGGGCTGAAGTGGAGGACACGAGAGTGCCGGAGCGTGTTCCAAAACTACGCACAATGTGCCCCTAACGTGGTATTAACTAGTTTCGTCATATAAAAAGAGCTAGCTTTTTTGCGAGCTACGTGCCAGTTTTTCTTAACGCTTCCTAGCGCACGAATGTAGCGTTTTTGTTGAATCGCACGAGATCGATAGGGACGTGGATATCGTACCTTTGCCCGGGCTCTTGTCCATTTCTGACCCTTCACCCCGCACGATTTTCCCAATAATATTTCACTCGTTCTATTGTGCGATATGTACGTAAATAGCACATAGATACTAAAGAATGAAATACGCTGATATAGTTCGCACAAAAATATAACTCAGAGAATGGAAAAATTTTAAGAGTTGCAAAGTTGTAAAATCTCTGGGAATAAAAATACGAGGGTGAGAATACAACATGGATGGAAAAAATACGATGGATAAAATTCGCACAATCAAGTTAGTTGCGGTACTTGAAAAGTTATCAAGCTTGAATCGAAACAATTCACGATTGTTCTTGTAAAATATAAATATAAAAAAATATTCTTATCTTTTTTCCAATGCGCTGTGCTTTAGCAGTCACAAGAGAAACGTCAATTAATATCGCAAGATTTCGGTGGTCCGAATGAAAAAGTAAAGATTAGTGGAACGGGATTGCGCAACGGGGAATGAATGAACTTGGCGGGGAAAAAGAAAGAAGAACTGTTGAACGTAAGAGTATTGAAAGAGGGCGCTGTGAACTTCCGTTGGGAACCGATGACAAAATAGATATGAAAACGGGAAAGCTCTCTTCGAGATGGAGATTTGCGATCGCGCAGAGATGGAGATATGCTGATAAGCTTCGCCGGGAAAAACATCGAAGATAATGGTTTCTCGAGACAAGACAATGGTTGAACGAGCGTGATAATATTTCGCCGAGATAGCGCAGGATCCTGTCGACCCAATAAATATTCGGCCGTAGTATTATTCGTATCGCGATCCGCGTCGTGATCTCCTGGGATCGCCCAAGTAGGAACATTTCGAAGTAGCTTTCGTATACTCGCATAATTGCTACCCGGGGATCGTTGTTGTATGTGAGAAGAAAGACACAAAGGTTATTTGTGTCGGGAACGGTAATATAACGTCTCGGCTACGTACACCGAATGCTGAGAGAGAAACTCGGATCGGAGAGCGCGCGATCGTCATTCAATATGATTTCCAATTACTACACGTGACGTGTAATATTAACGCGGACTGTCGATGTAACAAATATTACTGTTTGTTTTTCCCAGCGAAGACGAGACTCGAAAATACTCTAATACAAGGGAGGTATTTGATATTCGCGTATTTTCTTCCACCACCTGGGAAACCTGCGCGATACCTTACGCTTCTCGCGGGTTGTGATTCGACCATTCGTAAACCAACCACGAACGCCATATGTTCCCAGCCGACATTTACGTTAGAATTTTCAAAGCAAGCGCCGCGCATGCTGTATTCCAATTTCTCCACCGAAAAGCAAAAATATTTTCGAGCTTTCTGTTTCGCCGACGTGTATCGTACAGCCGTATCGTGTGTTATATCGGAAACTAAGCTCATACGTATGTGCGATTTGGTACTCTTGTGCTTTTTTATTAAGAAACAATCTGCATATTGATACGGTGAATTATTTTATAAACACGTTACATATTTCCGAAATTTTCTCGTCTGTTTCAGCGAAGCAACGTTTTTCATGATTTTACGTGTAGTAAGTCTTTTGTCTCAATTTTGACCTGAAAGTTCTTTGATTTGTCTGTTATTTTGTCCGAAATATTCAGCGTACGACACAGAGAAAGCAAAGGAAACGTCCGCGATAATTCCAGAGAAACACTTCTCTCATCTCATTCATGAAACTAGCGCAGTTTCAATGTCGCGCGACCGCGTTTTACCGTCGTATGCGTGTTTCGCTTACGGCGCCCTGCCTTCAGACAAATGGCTATTATACCAGTTATAATACCGCACAGTTTATTTTCCGTCATACTAAGAAGTTCATTACTCAGACGGTTTAACGAACGTGATTCCCCTACTTACTCCTAAAACTGTAATCAATGAAGTATTCACGGAACGCGCGACATCTTCCTCCTCCTCCAGCTCTCTCTCTCTCTCTCTCTCTCTCTCTCTCTCTCTCTCTCTCTCTCTCTCTCTCTCTCTCTCTCTCTCTCTCTCTCTCTCTCTCTTCCCTCTTCTTCTTTCCTTCCTCGTGCCAAAGGACAAGACCGGGCTGGGTAGTCACGCGAACTCGCAACTAGATCGGAAATCTTATGAATTCGTCCGACTAAAACAATCCTCCGGGCTAAAATAAGCGGCTCGTTTCCGCGCTAGGGCAGCTATTTAAATATTTAACAGGCCGTTCGAAATCGCGTGTCTCGGACGAGTCGGAATGACCAACGTTCTGTGCGTGATCGCTCGAGTTGTCCGACGGTATTCACATGTAACGACACACATCGGCCTTGGCTCCTTAACAAATGTTGCAGTGAACATCGACTTTGAGCGTGTACGGATTTGTGTGTGTGTGTTTGGTTTAAAGAAGATAACTGTCATCCCAATAAATTTAGAGATTCTGTTTCGGGTTTCTACGTACTCGAGTCTATTAAAAAGGAAGCCAGTGCTGCTAACAGCAACGTACACGGGTTTGGTTATTTTTCCTATATCGGAGCCATTAACTCTCGTATCAATATCTGTAATCTCCAAGACGAGTATACACACAGAATGTAATGGTCGCCAAATTCGTCGTACTAGACCGATATTCGATCAATCACGAGAAACGAGATATGATGAAATCGGGGTTCAATGGCTCCCCTGTGCTAAAAATAGAATGTGCCATCATCTCTTTGAACGTCATTTCTTCAGAGTGAAAAAGTGTGTAGTGTAAAAAAAATAAAAAAATAAAGCAACAGTCAGAATCACGCAAGAGAATGTAAAAATCACATTGTAGGGAGCTTTTGTAGGATGAGTGTTAAAAAAAAAAACTCCAAAGAAATCAGATTCGGCATTGTGGAACGTTGCGGTGAGTATTTCCCGCGGCTTTAGGTTGCAGCTGGTACTTTTATGGCCGCGAGAAGAAAGGTGAAAAAGCTGATAACCGCGACGATCGAGGCTCTAAATGATGTAGCGCCGGCATGTACGAGGTGGCATTATTCGAGATAACAAAGATTGCCCGATAAAAGCGTATATTTACAAGAGCGTGAAAGTGCGCGGAACAATAAAGCTGCCAGCAGGTTTTATGCGCGCGCGCGCGCGCGCTACAGTGGTTCATCCGCGATGGGAAATGGATCTGTATGTGCGCGGGCGTGCGCATGGAACGAGGCGCCGGATATTATTCCCGCATTGTCGATGCGCGCCGGCCTTACGCCGGGAAGCAATGCAGGATGGTCGATGGTGGAAAAGCGAGAAAAGCACATAAGATTGCGCGAGCCAAAGGAATGAATGCAAAAGCGGGGCGGGAGAGCGGCATATGCAAATCGGCACTACCGATACGGCAAGGCCGACGTGCCGTATGAAGCGTACCGCTTCACCGGTGGATTTCAATAGACGCCCGGATCCGTCAACATCGCTGATTGAGCTTTTTTAAATGGAAATTCGTCGGCACGAGCGAGCCGATACTTTGGGACGAGCCGGAAGGAACGGAAACGCTTCGTCTTATCGACGAGATACACTGTATTATCCGCCTGTATTTGATCGTGCCGATTGAGTCGGACGCTATTTTTCGAGAATCAATGCTGCTGGATGGAGATTTCACGTCGATCGTTGTGTTAACATCCTCTTCCTCGTTCTCCTCCACTTCCACGTGTTTAATATCTCTCGACATTTTCTTTCTCGACATCAATACAACAGATACATTCTCTCTCTCTCTTTCTCTCTCTCTCTCTCTCTCTCTCTTTCTTTCTTTCTCTCTTAACTCCACACGCATCACGCTTGTCTGGAAAATTGTAAGTGCCGAGCAAAGATAGATAGATAAATCAGACAAAATATATATGTGTTTCCCACGTTCTATCTGACTCATGCTTCAATCCTCACAAATACTCTCAGCACCAGATTGCAAATAATCAACTTCAACCGTTCTCATTTCCAAAAGCTACT